AGAGCCACTGAACCAAGGGTTCTTTTTTTTTTTATATTTGGTGCTATGCACTATTAATGATTTCCCTTTTATCTCTTTTTTCCCCAAGTGCTAGTTGTGGGATTCAATGTTGGTACAAACCAATTAATACACTAACGAGCCAGTCCTCCTCGGTTGGTATTGAACCAGTGGTTTGTCATAAAAACATTTCTCTAATAAAATTTGAAATTTTGTTTGGTTAAACTGTTGAGAAAATGTTTAAAAGGCATTTCTCTAATAAAGTTGGAAACTTTGTTTGGTTAAGATGTTTATTAATAAAATGTTTTGTCAAGTTGTGTGAGAACCATTAGTTAGAGGAAAAAACTTTTTTTTTTTTACTATTTGGCACTTGTGATGCACAATGGTGCCTGGTTGTCAAAAATTATTAATAAATGCTTATCAACAAATTTTCTCGTTTTTCAAGAAAAGTACCACACAAAATATTTGTTAAATGCTTATCAGCCCTTATATATTCTTCCTTTGAGTTTGCTATGAACCAGAATTGAGATATCATGAAAAAAAAAATCTATTAAATTATCCCTCCATCTGAGATTTTAAGGATGGCAACTTTTCTTCTAAAACCAGGGCCTACCCTGTCCCACCTTGAATGGGGCAGGTTTTCCCCGATCTTAAATGGGAATGGGGCAAAGATGGGAAAAACGTTTTTGCCTCAAATTAGGGATGGGGCATGGATGGTGTTTACATATAATTCTCCAAATCCACCTCAAATCCAATGGTAAATTAGTAAAATATCCCTAGGCTTAACATTCTAAAATACCTTTAAGTTTCCTCCAAATTCTTAAAATCCGAGGACCCCATAATTTCATTTTTATAATACCTAAATTGTCATAATCCAAATCCTAAAATGTTCCCAAATTCTCACAATCCTATTTCTAAAATACCTATAAATTATATGTGTTTTTAGGTGGTTGCATTGGAACTGGAAAAATTAGGGGGTTCCCCATCCCCCATGTAGAATGGGTGCCCCGCCCCATTCATTCCTATGAAATTTGAGGGTTCATCTCTTCGTCCATATAGGCTTTGAACATTTGGGTTGGAGGATAAAAAGAATAACTTATTTTTTTTTATCTTTGTGTACATATTTATTTTTATAACGAATCATTCATGCGTTACACGTAAGAAAATTTTCTTCATATAAATTATTTGAAATTTAGATATATCAAAATTAAGATAAAAAATTAAAATTAACAAAAGTAATAATATGATTAAAAATAAACTTAAATGCTTGTAGTAAATGTATATGTACATTGCACGTGAAAATTTTAAATTACAATAACAATTATTATTATTATTATTATTACTATTATCATTATTATTTTATTATTATTATTATTATTATTATTATTATTATTATTATTATGACAAATTTCTTAAACTATCCCTACTATTTAACTAATTGACTAAATCTACTCTTACTCTTTAACTATTATCTTAAACCACCCTTGTTTTTTGCAATTACCATGCATCGTCCTTACAGGGTGTCTCAAAAATAACCATTACAGCTCCAATTTTCGACCAACGATTACAATAGCGAACAATCATTTGGCAATTACCATCATCGTTAAATTCGGAAGGAAACAATGTCTCAAAAATAATCATTATAGCTGCAACTTCTGACCAACGATTACAATAGCGAACAATCAACCAAAGACACTGACAAAACCAAACGTTCAAAGAGTATTCCCTGTGCTAATTGAAGTTTTCCTTCAAAGACGAAATGCTTGCAAAGAGCTTCACAAGAAAAGTTTTCATGGCTGCTCTCTTTTGAAGCTTTCATCTTCACCTTGCTTTGCAAAAAGACTAATACCGATGGCCAGCTAATGGTAATGAGCCACTCTTGGCCATTTCCCACAACTTCAATTTCCTAACTTCATCATGAGGCGCAATCCCGCCAGCCGAAAACGAAGTTCTTTAGGTCCGGCTACATTTGAAATCAGATGGAAATGCTATAAAAGCCTGAATTAGTGAATTAAAACATTTTGAAATCAGAAACCAAAAATTGCTGCCCAAAACCAAAAGCAGCACTTAGAGCCCGTTTAGAAGATTTAACTAGGCTTGTTCAGCTTCTTTGAATCGCTCCAGATAAACTATTCAAAGAGGCTGAGGTAGACATCTCACCCCATAAAATGCTGTATTTGAGCCCAGCCAAACCAAGGTTCAAAGTATTAGAAATGCTATGTGTATCAGAAAGGCAAATTTAAGATATGTATCAGGATATGCCTTTGATATGCATGGATACGGACGAAAAATTAAGATACACATGGAAACACATGGAAATGTTATAAACATCAATATCACTAAATATAAGACTTAAATGAGCTATTTATACATTAAAATCATATGTTTTAATAGGTTTTATGAAAAAACATATTATAATCAACAAACTAGAACAAAAAATATACTATCTAATAAAGTACTTAATTTAGTTTCATTCTTCCAAGTTCCAACTTCAAATTTTAAATCTATTATAATTAACAAATTCAACATTTGAGTCCCAATATGATTTTTACAACTTTACATGAATCACATAAAAATTCAATTGCTATATAAATTATCCAATTTTAAGTGTTAATGTGTTAGTAAACTAATTTTCAATTGTTATTATGAAAATTTCTAAAAAAAATTAAATATTTTTTCAATTATTATCTAATACGAGTATCCAATTAAACAAATAATAATTGTTTTCATATTTTTTAGGCCACAATTATATTCACATTCAAATTAGAGATTATCATGTGAAATATATCAGTGCCTTTTATTATGTATTTTTTAAATATTATTAAAAATTATTTTTAATTGTTTTAAACATTTTGCCAAGTGTTATCTAATACAATTAAACAATTAACAATTATTGAATCAAATAATTATGTAAAATTTGTAATTATTGAATCAAACATTTTTTGTATTTTTTTAATAATTATTTATTTTTGTTCAAACAATTATTTTGCATGTTTTATTCTAAAAATTAAACAAATATTTTTTTGAATGGCTTCATGGACATCTATTATTTTTATTCTAAAACTAATAATGATTTTGCATGTTTCATTCTAAAAATTAAATAACTATTTATTTTTATTCAAATAATTATTTTGCATGTTTTATTCTAAAAATTAAAAAAAGTAAATATGTAATAGAAAAATTGAATGGATTTATGGACATAATAGATGAAATACTTATTTTGCATGTTTCATTCTAGAAACTAAATAATTATTTATTTTTATTCAAATAATTATTTTGCATATTTTATTCTAAAAATTAAACTAAAATTTTAAAAAGTAAATATGTAACAAAAAAATTTGAATGGGTTTATGGACATAATAGATCATCCATATATTTACTGTAAATATTTATTATTAGAATTTAAATCATAGCAAAAAATTAGAGAAATAAATAAATATTTATAATCTAAAAATAAAAAATTAAAAAAAACAAATTAAAATTTACACATGATATTTCAATACATTGATGTTGGTCTTAGCTCTACAACATACTCAACCTATAGGGTTAAGATCACATAAAATTGAAGAAATTATCTATATATTATTCCAAAAAAAAAATCAATTATTTACAAGAAATTTCAATTGATCTATGGACATGGTAAATCATCCATAGATCTACAACACAATCATTTTTTAGAGGTAGATAACAAGAAAAGCCTAAAATTTTCATTTCTTTCATATTTTTCACTATTCTGAAATTTCTTTAAATATTCATAAAGATCTTCATATAGGAGCAAAATAAGTGAGATTTTTTATCAACATATACAAAGATGTTTCTAAGCATCCAAACTAAAAAAGCACAAAAACATTGGCTGAGATTGTAAAAAAAATACATATTTTTGCTCATTTTTTAAGAATCTTGAAAAACTTATTGGGTCTTGCAAATTTGTGGATGTTTTGGTGGATTTTGGCTAGATTTAAATCTCTAGGAATGGTATGAAGGTTTCTAGAGGGTTTGGGGAAAAATTTAGAAGTTCTCTTTCAAATTAAGTTTTTTTTTTCATTTTCCACAATAGTAAAATCACATTGTATCGGTCGATATGCTAGTGTATCGGCCAATACAACACCGAAACAGGCCAATACTCACCAAAACATTACTGATACAAGCACGATACGCTTCCAACACAACGAAAAGGAACATTACTAAGGATTTGGTACCGTTCCTCGTGCTGGAACCTCAAAGATACAATACGTATTGGACAATATAATATGAAATTTTGAACCTTGTGCCAAATGATGTGCAACTGAAACACTTATGTGCTGTTTGGATAAACTTCTACTTTTGTATTTTTAAAAATGTCAAAGTATAAAGTACAAAAAAATACTTTTGCTTTAGTATTTTTGTTTTGAAAACCATTTGGGTAAAAAAATTTGAAAAGTACGCATTTCAAAACAGAAGTTTCATTTTCTGTTTGGCAAAAGCACATCTGTTTATACTTGTAGTGACGGTTCCAATGGTTTCAAGGTCTGAGACTGGTGACGTCAGTCCAACTCTAGCAGCGACAAGCAGAGGTAGGGTCGAGAGTTTTATCAAAGGGTGATCACCAAAAGCACTTTTAAAAATATGAAAGTGAAAACTATAAAGTACAAAATATAGACGCTATATTGTGTTTTTCGCATTTTTATACTTTTAAAAGTACGAAAATACTTTATAAAAGCCTATCCAAACAGGGCCTTAAATGGTGCTGAACAACAGCTTAATGGTGGCTTTTGTTTTTGTTGCTGATGGAAACGGAGACCATGTTCCAATTTCCGTTTCTTCACTGGGACGCGAATAAAGCTTTTATTAATACGTCTGGTGCCTATTTCCACCTCATACACTGCGCTCTTGCAGTCCCAGATCGAATTTTTCTTGCATTTGTTGCTTTGTAAATAGAAACTTGATTCCCACGATTCAGTTTTGGGATCATAACTCAGAGAAATTCGTACCAGGGTAATCCAACGCCTCTAACCTACTGGATATATGAAAACGATACAAAGTAAAACAAAAAAATTAATAATGATAAAAACGGATATAAATAAATAACGAAAATAAAGAGATCAAACAGAAGACTATACAAAATTAGATGGACGACCCTTAAAATCAGAGCTACTGGAACTAAAAACATTTGGCCCTGCATTTGCATATGGTGGTATCAACTGGGATAGATTTAGGCGACTTGAGGGTGCAGCATTATGCAAAATATGGCATGAACTGAGATCTGGTTTAGTAGTTCCAAATAGAGTTCGTGTTTCCCCACCATGATGCATGGTTACTTCTTTGCATGAGCTACGGCTGCTGCTCAATCCAACTGGAGGAACTTCAAGCAGCTGCCTATCTGTAGTCTGTGCATCCTGCTTAACACAGAGTAAGCATATGATATCAACAAGAATTGAAGTTTCTTCAAAATAGAAGGAAAAATAATTAGTTTTGGAAAATGAGCTAGCTGTACTACATAAAAGTAGCAGTTCAAATAATTTGGTGGAATGTTTGGATTAGGAACGTAAGTAGTAATCCAATCGCCTCTTCTTCACTATAACATGACCACAGGAAGTGAATCTGGAAAAAATCGGGCCTCAATCCCTTGTACTTGTATACCATCCTTTTTGTCCAGACTAATCAAGGTAGGGGTGTGCTCAACAAAAGAAAAAAAAGAAACGAACTGAAAAATCTGGTTAACTGAACCATTCAGCTCAGTGTTTTGCAAAAACCGATGGTACCAGTTCGGTTTTCGGTAAACCTAAAAGCAAAAAACGGCAGCCAACTGAACGTCTGAACCAACCAGTATTATATGCATTATATATAAATATAAATATATATTATATTTTTAATTGTCTATTTATAATATATTAAATAAATTATATATTATATGTTTGTAGTATTTATACTATAATATATTAAATAAATTCTCTAATAGTCTACAGTAAAAAAATAACAAGATCGTAGAAAAGGGAAGTACACCTGCTGCTGTTGGCCAAAATTCTCTAGGAGACAGGATGCTGATATGCAGTGTCCACTCCGCGAGGAAGACAAAGGTCTTGTCTCTGGATATTTACTGTGAACAACTTGAGGTTTCTCAGGTGTTGAGAACCATGGCACTGGTCTTCCAGTTACCCAATGCTCACTATTCCTTCTCATCCTCAAATATGCTGGTGGGGAGTGATCATGAGATAGCATGTAATAGGAGCTGTGGTGCTCCTCCCTACAAACAGTATGAGAAGAGCCCCAATGTTCCTCGAAAGATGATCTAATGCCAACATCTTGGTGGTGTTGGAATACAGAAGATGTTGAAGAGGACTGTCTGATGCCATGACAAGAACACAGAGGCGGAGATCTTCCATGACCTGAAATAGGTGACTGCTTCATACCAGATGGCACCCAAGGGGTTGTTGTAGTCCAGTCTTCTATTATTATTCCTTGTTTGGAAGCAAGCTCCATTATCTGCTTTTGATCAAGTCCTAACCCCATGATCAAGTTCCATAGGTTCCTCTGTGCTTCTCGTTGATTGTGAATCACTTGATCTCGCATTGCCATTTGAAACTGAAGCTCAGTGTTAGCCATTCCCTGCAATTATAGCAGTATAAAAGCATTCAGTACAGAAGGGCAGCTAGCACTGTCATTCCCACACATTCTTCAAAAATGAAATACAAAGACCAATGTTACGGCAAGATGTCTTTTTCTTAATACGTAGCAGTATAAAAGCATTCAGTACAGATGGGCAGCTAGCAGTGTCATTCCCACAGATTCTTAAAAAAATGAAATACAACAAAGACCAAAGTTACTGCAAGATGTCTTTTTCTTGATGGATAACAAGGAAATTTTTATTGATGACAGAGAATAGTAAACATGTCAAATATCCTAAAACAAGAAATATGATCCTAAAAGCCCCTCAATAAGAAAAAATGGCACCAAACACTATAATGTAGCAGTACTAATCTACAGATCTGCACCCCTTCCTCTCTACTCCATTCCTTAGCTATCTCATCTGCAAAATGTTATAATGGAAATGACTTCTCCCTCGGGTAAATCCCATCACCTGGGGGGTTCACATCATCTTGGTAAAGGTGCAAGAATCAATAGAATGTGGATTACTTCTCACTCAACAAGGTGTTTTGTTTTAAAAGTAAGAAGCATGAGTAAAGAGCAAGGAATTCCTGAGCCTAAGGCAAAGACAAGGTGGCCACAGGAACAAAGTAAGCTGCTACCTTTTCAAAAAGAATCAAAAGACAAACTATGCAAATATAAATTCTTAAAAGAGACATTACACAATGTTGGTCCTAGCAATCTGGGGTCTTGGGAAGGGTGGCTGGACACAAAACTAACCTCTGGCATTTTTTTTTTTTTTTCTTTTGCATAAAGTGGCTGCTCTCTAGGGGTGGGCCACAAGCCAGGCTTTTCACGAGCTATTCGAGCTCAGCTTGTGAAAAGCTCGATTAGGCTCGGTCTAAACCAAGCTTTGAGTGCGCACACACACACACACACACACACATATACATATAAAATATAATATATTATAATACAAAAATATTATTGGTGAGCCGAGCTCGAATAGTTAGATATTCGGCTCTGCTCAGCTCGAATCCAATCCTACTGCTCTCGAGCTTAACACACTTTCTCATGCTTGTTAGCATGACCATGGCACCAAATAATGGCCACCTAATATACAAATACAAAATTCTAAACAATAAAATGTTTCAAAAGGACCATCATCTCAACTGGTTGGAACATAATATTATTAGCATGAAGTTGTCGCCTTGAATATTCAAGTCCAACACAGGACAAACTATGCCGATTGTACACTTTTTCTATTCTATGCTTAATAAAATACTACTCATTTATCAAAAAGAAAAACAAAACAAAAACACAGGCCAAACTGTTTGATTCTAAAGTATCACAAATACACCTAAAACCCAATGTTTTAAAAACGACCCAACGGCCGAACCATTTTTGCCTCCGGGTTGTGGGTCACTAGTTCGACTGTCCGGATCAAATGGGTCAGACTATGTCACATCATCATCTATGTATTTAAGGTATATATGTGTGTGTGTCTATCATTTATTTTATATTTTAATTTATGTTTTTTTAATTCAGTTTTTAATTTTTAATTTATAAAAAATATTAAAAATTGGAATTTGAGGCCAAAACTGGTTTTCTTCGCAAAAATAGTGGGGCAAGGTGACGCATAGATATCAAAAAGTTACCCAAAATAAAAAAAGAAAAGATCACCCCAATCGGACATTGGAGTGCAAAGTTATGGCCTCTGAAAGTTTGCATGCATTGAGTGTGCAACCTGCAACCTGGTGACTGGGTTGACCAAGTTGACAATTGAACCGGCCGGGTCAAACGTTTTGACCAACTGACGGGTTTTAACAGAACTAGACCCAGAATCTTGGCTAGGTGATGGTTCGAACGGTTCGACTGGCCGGGTCAATGACGGGTTGAAAACACTGCCTAAAACATAGTAAATTCTAAGAACTACAAGTCTTGTATCTATTCAACATCAAACTTCAAAGTCAATTCATCAAAACAGTAAGTCAAGTAAAGCACACTCCAGAAATGAGCCTCACCTGCAGAGCCACCTTTTAAAACATTGCCCAGCCATAATAATATATATTCAACAGTAGAGTAGAAAAAAATCCATAACCTTTAAAATCAATAAAATGAACAAATGTTTAGCCCCAATAGTGAATCTTCCATGTCTCTCTTGATCTTTATTTGATGAGAAGATTGCCTACACTCTTTTTATCTTTTCATGAGAACATACATTGCCCTCTTTCCACTGGTTTTCAATGAGATGAACAGCATAGATGATGTACAAGAGTGCCATATCATATTGGACACTTCAATTTTTATGCAAATTCTGTATCCAATACCATATCCTTGCTGTGCCATGATGGGCTTATTTGAGGAATGCCTGGGCTAGGGGTCCTTCTGTAACAGGTTATTTTTTTGGATTCAATCTAGTGTGATCATCTATCAGCTGTCTCTGTATTACCCCTGCTATCTTTTTGGACAGCTAGGATTTTTCGCATATTAATAAAATCGTGTTCTTTATCAATAAAAAAAAAAAAAACGCATCTTTGCTGTATCTGGGTAGCATAGCATTCTGCATAAAGATGTGCAACACCTAACCTAGAGAATGGCAAAGGTAATGTGTTTTTTCTTTTACACTTTTTACCATGCAATATATTATACCATTACCATTTATTTTGAATTGAATTATACAATGTGGAATAATTTGCCATCCTTCAAAGCTTGTCATACAGTACACTTTCATGAAGAAGGAAAAGGTTTTGGTATTATTATACACAAACCTGTTGTGAACACAACTGACAAGGTCAGTGCCCTTAATTGTGTTCTTTCATACACACAAGCAGTGTCATGTGTATACACATGCTTCGTGTGTGTTAACTGGGATGGCTCATTTATATGCTATTATTATGTATGTGCTTATGTTTACACACACATAACCATAATGATTTAGCGAAAAGTTTATTGCTTTGTTTCTACATTCTACTTACCAGGAGCCTGTATTGACTGAGAATACGCAAGTAAGTTTTGTTGCCATCATTACTAATGGCTTCTTCTATCATGTCTTGAAGTTGGCAGCGGTGGTTCTCATTTGCTTCAATTTCCTAGAGAAACATATAAAATATAACCAGATTATTAAAGGATACAAACAGGAAATTTTGATCCCTATGAACCACAACATGAATAACACCTTGTGGTAACTAGCTCCAGCCTCATCATTATCACGGATGTTATCAAGAATAACTTGTCTCCTCTCTCTTAAAGCTTGTACAATTGTTCCATCTTTTTCAATGACCTGGAAGATATAAATAGTTCATCAATAAAAGCAATCATCCAGAAATTTACTCTTTAGTTATGATCAAATTTTAAAAGCCTTGGTAGATAGACCATATCTTGGAAAAATGAACTACAGTATTAGGCAAAAATTATCCAAATTCAAGCTTCAGTCAATAAAGGTTGTATAAGCAAATGGAAAGAATGAAGGAACAGAGTTAGGTCAGATCCTAGCTTTCTTCCATATAAATCCTCTTGCATTTGCTACCATATAAAAATCAAATAAATGCTCAAACAGGAAAGAAATCTCAACAGTCCTTATCTCAGTACTTCAAAATGGATAAAGCAAGATAAACTGAAATTGGAAAGGTTAAGAACATGAAGTGAAACCCAGTAATTAAATATAGTAGGATGATTGACAATGTTAACCTGTTGTTTTGCAATAGCATCATCTAGATGTTGGAGTTCAATGCGGTTACGGATATTGGTTTCTTCAAGTTCAAACAAAGCCTTCTGCAAGTTTATCCGTTCTTGAACATTTTCACTGGTTTCACGGCTCAAAACATCCAACCAAGAGAGCTCATCATCAACTGCTTTTTCTGTAGGTTTCACACTTAGTTGTGACTCCTTTTCTGCTAGTTCCTTTCTCAGCCGGCAAACTTCAATCTGCAAAAATTAGATTCTTATGCACTGATGCAACAAGATCAACGCCCGAAATAATATGGCAGCAAAAACATTCCAAACTTACCTGAAGACTGTCAATCATTCGTTGGTAGTCTGCAACATGGGTATCAATTGTGCCAACATTTTTCTAAAAAGATCAATTTTAATCAATAACAAAGGAATGTTTTTGAAAAAACAGAGGAGAGCAGAATGATAAACAAAGAAACACTGCATATAATAAAACCTAAATGCTTACAAAGCCGTGGACAAAAAAGTACAGTATTATACAATGAGAAAATAACCACATCATAAGAAAGGCACACAGTTTAGCTCAAGCCTCAAGGCACCACTTGAAGGAAAGGCAACTATTACAATATTGTCATGACCTATTATAAGAAAGAAGACAAGAGAAACCTATGGAAGTGAACAGCACAAATTTGAATATGCCAAAAGAAATCATACTTGAAGCAGGCATGCATTTGTGTGTACACATGTATACCAGCTCTACAAACTACTCCATCCTAGACATAGTGGCCTTCACTATTCATGTAAAATGAATGGATGCAAACCACTGCTTGGTGATTTCAAGGTTGGAGAGCAAGTCATGAGAAAATAAAATGATTGTATATTGTTCATTTAAAAGGGGAGGGTCTGATTAGTCACTAGTACTGTAAGAGAAATTAAAAAATTCACTTTGTCCAACTTAGCAATGCTCTGACACAATTTTTTTCCTCTTTCTGATTGGAGATGTAGGGGTCATTGAAAGAGAACATGGGTAGCACACATGAGGTTAGGTCTGTATCCAGTTCACTTCTCCCAAGACTGCAGATATCTTGGACCAACATTGGGTAACACATAAACAAAAAAAATGTCTATTTTTACTTCTCATTTTCATTTGCAACTTATTAATTTCGAATTAAAAAAAATCAAGCTTTATTAGAAAAATATGAAAATAGCATAAACGATGTTATCTTACACCCCAAGGTTGGCCTAGTCTAACTAGCCACCATAGTTTTCAAGGCACCAAGGCGAGGCTAGGCAACAAGGGGGTGCCTTGTTACCTAGGGAATGGAGTTTTTTAAATAAAAAACATGAATCCCTAGGGTAGTTCCATAGGTTCCATAGGCCATAGCAACTAGAAACCATCATTCAGTAATGATTATCTATAATCTTCATAAAAAAGTATAAATTTCATAGTATAGTAAAATATAGAAAATCAACATATTCATAATTCATTAAAAAAAAGTATAAAGAAAAGAAAATTCAGAAAATATAGGGGTCTAAGCCTCGTTTTTTGTACTTGGAAAAGAAGAAAAGAAGAGGTGGAAGAAAAATGTATTCATTGTGCAAAATTTTAAGTTCTTCCTTTCCTTGCTTATTGGGTCAGGTTTTGAAGCCTTTTAGGGTTCAAGACATCATACACCACATGCATGTTGATTGAACCCTAACAAATAAGAAATAATAAAAACAAATTAGGGAACTCACCCATCTTTTCTTTACAACCCCTTTAGGGAACTCACCCATTAAATCAATTCAAAGTTTGTTATACATTGTATGTATTCTAATTAAATGATGCTCACCTGGATGTGTGTCTTAATCTCTTTAGCTCGATCAGCATATTTCAGTGTATTAACAGTGTGGTGATACTGATTACCAGCAGGTGATATTGTTGCAATCATGATTGTTCGAGAATTACCACTCAAACCATCTTTAAGAATACGTGTCAATTTGCTGAAAAAATAAAAGAACTAGAGATTAGTATCCTTGCAAAGTGGTTTTTATATTATAAAAATAATCGTTCAAATACCTATTGCGGTAAGGGACATATGCCAGACCCTTTTTCTGTTGTTTCCCCAGAGCATTGATGCAGTTTGCCAAAGCAAGAAGTGAACGATTAATATTGGCACCATCCCTCAGTTTTTGACCTCCACTGTTTGTCTCGGAAGCCCGTTCACTGCATGTAATTATTTAATATAATATTTTTGTAATCCTCGTTGGAACAGAACTAAACTGCATTCGAAAAAAATAAAGAATAAAAAGAGGGGTGCCTAAATGTGTGCCCACCTGCCAGCAAGATCAACTAATGCAAGTTTTCCACGGACAACTTGATTCTTGTACTTGTTTCTCTGTTTTCTTTTTACAATAATCTCTAAAACAGCATGTGACCTGTTAAGGCACGTGAAGCAAAAGACTTTTTGTATTAGATGGTTTGCATAGGGAACCTTCATACAGTAACAACAATAACAACAGCAGTGACATTGATTTCCAACCTAAACATTTGGTATAAATCAAATTTCCCACATAGCATGCACTAAATAATACTCCAAAAGATATGCTCATTAAAAAATAGCATTCACTAATGATACACTAAAACATGAACTCATAAAAAATGATATTCCAAACAAAGTGTTTCCAAACTCAAGATTCATATCAATGGGAATATTTTGTTTGGGTGATAGGAAGGACAGAGAAACAAGAAAGATGCATGTGTCATGGGAGACATATGCAATAACCTAATAATAATGGAACAAGTTTCTGGAATTTAACAACAATGTTTGTAAAAACTGTAAAATTCTTTCTAGCTGAGGCCACTAACCAGGTTGTCATAAACAAGCATTCAGAGACATTAACCCTGAGAAGATGACAATAGCTTACTCACCGTGAAGATGTTGCATTTGCCTCTGTACTTTCTGTCTTTCGTCTACTGTTTCCCAAATTTAAGAGTTCAAGAATCTTATCAGCCGAATGAACCTGAAGTTAAGGGAAACAAAAACAAGAAACCATTACTATCCTGATCATAGTTCCCAGTCCATTAATATCTATAAATTAAAAAATATCTTGCCATTATGTTTCCGGTCAATCTATACAGAATGTTAAAAACTATTCTTTTGAGGACCACTCAAGACCCCTTGTTTCAATAATTTTAGATGCAAAGACATTCTGTTCTGTCAATCAGGCTAGGATATCTGCAATGAGATGGGTTTTTGCCACCTACAGGCTGACATGGACAATCAAGACCATTAGAGATATTCTGTATGCCATCTAAAAGGCATGACGAGATGGACCATAATTTTTATTCAACGTGATTTCTTGGAACTTCCAGAGAAATTTTTAATCATGTTTGGCATTAGGTGGTTTGATCTGATGTTTGCAATTGATGTGATAAAAGTGTCCCTCATAGAAACGTAGAGTTAAAGGATGACCACATGGAGATGAAATCCTAATGCAATGTGTTGGATTATGGAAGGAGAGGAATGATAGGGTGTTCAACAAAGTAAGAAATACATGTAAATCTTTTTAATTGAGAATACCATTTAAATGGGACAATGGAAGGAGAGGAATGATAGGGTGTTCAACAAAGTAAGAAATACATGTAAATCTTTTTAATTGAGAATACCATTTAAATGGAACAATAGATATGGCACTGAACAGAACAGATTGGTGAAACAGGATTCATGTAGCCAACCCCATATGGTTGGGACAGGGCTTAGATGATAATGAGTTTCTTGCCACATTACTCCTACATAGTCTCCATTAAGCTGAGTTGTTGACCTTATTAGAAGGGTTTAGGCTAATGAAAGCTTCTTCATCAACTTAGTGCCCATTAGGGAGGGCATTTGCGCAATGGTTTATGGTGTTACATGAGCCGAGAAACCCGGAACACCATGAAACCGTGTTTGGTTATAAATCCAAAAAGCAGAAAGTATGTTTAGATGAGCCATAAAATCAACTTTTGAAGAAGCTATCAAAGGTAGCTTCTCCAAAGTGGATCATTCAATGCAGATCAATCAATGCAGTAGCCCTCCCAAATGGGCTCTTATATTTCTATGCAAAAGGTAAGTCAGCATGCTTGTTTAAAAGAATGGGCAAAGATTTGCAGCATAAATGGACATTGCAAAGGTTTCCATTCCACCCAAGCCATGTTCTATTCCAAGATTTTTAACTATTATCATATCAAAGAAATTTCACAAGAATTATATGAGATAAAACTAGTTCAAATGTTCCATCTCTGAAGGGAAGTGACCTTGATACACCTAAGCCCAGCTACAATTATTCCTTGCTCTGGATCCTCTCTAAGCTCCAAATGTCCTGATGATTTTTCAAGCAAATCATAGATGACCTGAACTCAGATACAAATTAGATGCTAAGCTCACTTCTTAAACAAGAGTAGTTGAAATGAATAAATAATTTAAGCCACATAGAAATATAAAAAAAACGCACACCCTACTTCATTATAAACTTCAAGGTAGGAGCAAGTAACTTCAAATTCATCGGAACTAGTGTCACTTTTGATAAGATCAAAAATTGTATGCAAGCTGAGAACCATTAGTCCAGGATCGCCTTTAGTTCCAGCCATTGTGTATGTTTTACCACTGGAAAAATATGGAACAAGAATTAGATCCTTTGGATGGGAGGCAATAAATGTACTTGTACTACAAATCATAAACAAAATTGCATTACATCATGATTTTAGATGCCGAGCAAAGAGAGGAAAGTGGGGGAACAACATCAAGCAGCCATCTTTAGAAGTTTACCAATTCAACTATTACAAAATACGAAGAGATGGCCAGTGCCTACAACTTTTTTTTTTTTTTTTTAGTTTTTTGTCATAGAAAGGTATTGTATCGATAAAATGAATGTACATGATGGAAATTCCTACAATTTTTTGGTGATTTCAGTTTCAGCATCACATCTGCCAATGCCTACCACTCTTAAGTAGAGGTGTCAATTGGACTGGATTTGGTCCAACCCGACCCAGTCCAATGTGAGACCACTTACAAATGGACTGGACCCAATCTAGTCTAAATCCAATACAAACCAAATCCAACCCAATCCATTAAAATGTAAATGGACTGGATTGGATCCAATCCAACCCGAATGAAATATCGAAAATTATATAAAAAAACAGAACATATAAAAAATTACAAAAATAAATTAAAATGAAGAAAATCTGAATTAAAAAAAATACCCCTTTGGCATTGAAAAAGCAATTTGTAAAAGCGCTTTCATAAAAGTACTTTTATAAAAGTACTCTCATAGAAGCAATGTTTTAAAAACTGACCTAGAGGCCAAACCATTTTTGCCTCCAGGTCGCAGGTCACCAGTTTGACTGGCCGGGTTTTTGCAAAAATAGCGGGGCAAGGCACCCCTAGGGACACAGATCTCGAAAAGTTACCCAAAATCAAAAAACAAAATCACCCCAATCGGACATTGGAGTGCAAAGTTATGTCCTCCAAAAGTTTGCATACATTGAGTGTACAACCCACAACCCAGTTACTGGGTCGAACCGGTCGGGTCGATTGGTTCTTGACCAAGTCAACGGCTTTTGACCGTTTGACAAGTCTTGACTGAACCAGACCCGAAATCATGGTCAGGTGATGGTTTGAACGGTTCAACCAGTCAGGTCAACAGTGGGTTGAAAACATTGCGTAGAAGTGCTTTTATAAAAGTACTTTCATAAAAGTACTTTCATAAAAGTGCTTTTGTAAAAGTGCTTTCGTAAAAGTTCTTACATAGAAGTGCTTTTATAAAAGTACTTTCATTAAAGTGATTTTATAAAAGTACTTCCATAAAAATTGTTTTGTAAAAGTGCTTTCATAAAAATACTTTTGTAAAAGTGATTTCGTAAAAGTATTTTTTGTAAAAGTGCTTTCATAAAAATATTTTTCATAAAATTACTTTTATAAAAGTGCTTTTGTAAAAGTTCTTTCATAAAAATATTTTCATAAAATTGATTTTATGCTGGCTTCAGTTTTGATCAGTTTCAAATTGGACAAAGGTTTGGCCTCATGATCGGATTATTGGAAAATTGGTTTAAATCCAATTCAGACCAATAAGAATATGGACCAATTTATTTTGGATTGGCCCAATCCAATAGTTATAATAGACCATCCAAATCCGATTTGATAAGGTTTGGATCCAATCCAAAACTGGCCGATTGACACCCCTACTCTTAAGCAATTTCTCCACAGCAGGTCATATTAATCTCTATATTGACAAAATTTGCTCAGAAGCAGCACAGGATGATTTTTTTTATTATTTAGAATTAGGAAGAGCCAAATTGCAACAACAGTCACTGAAGCCAACTTTAATTTCTTCATCAGATCCCTTTAATAGTTAGGAAGAGCTAATTTGGAAATAACAGTCAGTGTATGGCTGTAAAGTGAGCTGGGCTGCCTGGTCACTACAGGAAGCAGGCCATGCCAGGCCTGGTCCAAACCCCTGTGTCGTGCCAGGCAGGGTTTGAGGCCCATGGGCCAGCTTGGCACAACACGGCCTGCTTGCTGGCCCAGCACAGCCATACATACTATTTTATTCCAATTCTATTGTAACTTTTTCAATTTCATTTTATTATTTCATATATACATACTATTTTATTCCAATTCTATTGTAACTTTTTCAATTTCATTTTATTATTTCATATATAAACAATTGTATACATCAGAAGTCATATTAGTTTTTTTTTTTTTTAATTTCTTGTCTATCTTGTTAGTTTATTTTAACTATTTTATTTTTTTTTATTTTCTAAAAAAATTGTGACACCCATGGCATGGAATGGGCTCGACTGGGCTCAGGCCACAGGCCGTGTCAAGCTTCCCTTTCAAGGGATTCTGCGCCATGTAGGCATGAGCCACTACAGTGTGGGTGGCCTGCAGAAATGGGTAATGCCAGCCTGGCACGGTCCTCTAAGTGCAGCCAACTTTTAATTCTTCATTAGATCCCTGTATTCTAGAATCAGCTATGAAGTTTCAAAAAAACCAGTAAAATCTTCTAAGCAATTCACACTCCCAAATCTAATTAATTGCTGTCTAAGAGTAGACAGTTGAGAACAGTCTGAAAATTCTTACAAAAGGTTCAGAGAGACTCCAACTCCCAAATGTGGTCATTTCTTACAACTTATTTTTTTAATATCTTGTCTAATAGTCTGAAGATTCTCAACCCACAAAAATCCTTCTATTTGTTTACATATGGAAAATAATAGTACCATAGCATGAATTTCGAATAATAGGAGCAACAGGTACAGAGATTAAAGAGAAATTTGAAACCAAGTTAATGATGATTCCCGTGGATCAGCCAAGCTCTAATATCTTACCTAAGCCAAGTCTTGTAAATCCTACCTTTTAGATACAAATTCTGTTCTCTTCATAGTTCATCCTACCAACTTCCAGTAGATTAATTAGGATCTCTATCAGTTTGATAAGAACTGTGCATAGTTCAGTGTAAGCAACAACGATAAAAGGAGGTAGCAACTCACATAACTACAGTAACATGTGATGCAAAATAGAAGGAGGCCATAAACCCATCCTGTGCCAACTTATATTGACAAACATTTGGAACAGAGTACATGGCAGATTAACAAAACCATTGCATTCAAGTACCTTCCGGTTGAACCATATGCAAACACTGTTGCATTAAGACCTTGAACAACTCCAGCGATTGTAGAAGATATACTTGTCTTGTAAACATCCTGGAAACGAAAAAGCATCATTAAATGCTACAAATTATAATTGAAACAATTTGATCAGTAACTCAGAAAATAAGTCTGAAACCCACTAAAACTGCTACCTTATGAAGATTCTGTTACAAATTTACATTTGGTTACAGATTAAAGCCTTAGACCCAAAGGAACAAGCAAATATTTTCTTTAACTGGTAAAGCAAGAGATAATATGGTAAGAAGTTAGAAATATATACATGCCAAATATATAAAAAAAAAATGTACCTTTTAATTTTTAATTTAACTAGAACTCGTCATTTTAAGCCTGTCTTACACTGCTGGTCCCAAGCCCAGATAAAGATGGAGGGTTGTATCAGGTTGGCAGCAGGCATTAGGACTTATTGCCAAAGTTTAATGAACACGGATCCTGAATTGTCATTTTGAGTAGAATTGAGTATTTAATTGAACAACCACCAGGTCTTCACATAAAGATAGATCAGCTCCAGTGTGCTAAAAGTTTTGCAGGCATTGTCAGCAGTTCCTATAGATCATTTCGATGAAGTTTTGAAGAGTGAAGACCGTGTAACTCTTATGAAAACCTTAATGCAACTAGGCTTCACTCAAAAATCATCTTGTGTATAAGTTTTATGGTTACAAATTTTTTGAAACCTAAGTTTCCACATTTGTGGATTAGATAGATAGCAAAGCTAGCCTAAACTTCATTATGAGGGTGCTTGGCACATCATCTCTTGTGTATTATTCATCCTTTTATCATATATAGTAAAAAGATACACGTCAACAAAGGTGATTTCTTATATCAAACATCATCTTATTGAGGATTCATCCATCCAAGATGGCAAGATGAACTATTTCTATAGTTCTACAAGCCACATCTGAAGTTTGAATTCAATAGGGAGGGATGAGAATACATTGTCAAATGTATCTTTATAAAAGGGCAGCCCAGTGCATGAGGCTCCTGCCAATGTGAGGTCTGGGGAGGAACAGATGTATGCAGCCTTATCCCTGCAGATCCACAGAGAGGTTGTTTACAAGATTTGAACACTGGTCACCCAGGTCGCAATTGTTGTGCCAAGACCCACCCTCTCTGTGTTTACTGAATTTTGGTTTTCTGTTCAACGATCAAGATCCAGGAAGTGTACTAACAAGTTGTTAAAAAATTTGAGGTGTATTGACTAATATGTTGCATACATGGATGGTGGAAATCAGCATGCAGGTTTAGCAACTCCAGCAGTCCTTGAAGCTTGTAAGTGTATACCTCATAAGGCAAAGCTAAAGCCCTAGTGGAAAGAATAAGTACTATTAAACATCTTGGCTCTTGAATAGACTATATAGAAAGCTAGGGTGAATGTCATGCAGGTGGCCAAAACATTATGACAGAATTAGCTACAACTCGGAATAACAGGGAACAAAGTCCATATTTCCCAACATCAGAAATGTGTAAGGTAACAACTTTTCATTTGTGGTCGTTCTATCCAAAGGCACGCTTTTGAAGGTCAAGAGTTAAACATGGCAATATTCTTGTTACACAACTAAGAACTACCGGGATCTGTAAGAACTTTTAACATATTTCTGCTGACAACTCAACAGGAAGATTATGGACTCATATGCTAATCTAAGTTCATAACCAAGGAAATTAATTGACCATTTTTTTCAGTAAAGTGAAAGATGGAATTTCAGAAATTGCACAAAACTTGATAAATGAAGTTAAACGCCAGCATTTATAATCTTCACACATAGAAACATAATACATACCGAGTTTGTACAGTCAGGTCCAAATGCATAATCAAAAGAATATTTTCTCTCCTTAGTTCGATTTTGTACTCGATCAAGGTAGTCTTTTGACAGGTCAGGGTCCAATACAGTGACCTCCTATAAATAAATCGCGAAACAACCATAAGTTTCCTTTCCGAAGGCCAACAAATAATCCATATCTGCTAAAGCTCGAAGGAGAAAGAAAATGAAAACACCTTATCATCTTTAACCCGAACAATATCACGGCCTCTTTTCCGTTCTTTCTCTGTTAATGGCCTGCATTTTACAGCGACCTGTAACGGACGAAGCAGAAGAACTGAACATGGAAAAACATATGCATATCCAACGGAAACACCAAAAAACAGCGATAACTGAACCTGGACAATTTACAAACTTAAGAGACTAACCGTGAGGGTCGTGGTTTGCTTTGTAGCTGGAGCTTTAATGCTTGGCATTTCTAATCAACATTCGTCTCCAGTAAGTCACTTTGGTTCACTTAAGCAAATCCTATACTTCTACACTAAATCACCTTTGTTTACTGATGAAAAAACAAAATCCTATATGTTAATCTTGAAGTTGTTTAAATTGTCCGTGTCCAAAGCCCAAAACAACTTACGAGACGGTGTTTCTTCTGTACTCTTGTCAACACTTTAGTAGACCACAACAAATTCTTAATCCCTAATTTATCCAACAGCGCAGATATCCAAACATATCTAACCATTAAGTATTTAAATCCCTCCACCTCCCCAAAATCTCAGCTCATCCTCGTTTCACATCCTAAACACCAATTTACAAGAAAAAAAAAAAAAAAAAAGAAACCTTCCTCTTCTTTGGCATTGTACCAGCAAAAGAATAATACAAGCTCTCCAATCCGTTATCAGAACGTAAAAAGCTGTCAATGTTAGAACGCTCTGTTTCACGATATAATTCACTGAAACTACAAAACCCTAGCCCTAAAACTAAGTTCTTCAAAACAGCCAACAGACGAAATCCACCATTCTCAGCCTTCATGAACCCAGAACCGGTCAAATACGTCTCACTAACATATCTTCCTCTGCCAGCATAAAAAAACAACGGAACAAGCATTTCTCAATGTAACCACAAAGCCTCGACAATAACGGCCATGAAAGCCAAAAAGGAGAAAACTTGCAAAGGTCCCTTTGAAGCCTTGGCTCCAGCTGCAACCAACACCGCAGATCTAACAAAAAAAAATGTACGAGAAACAATTACAAGGAATCGAGCCTGACAAGAAATGTCTAGTTGAGGAAAAAAATATGTATATGTATTTTCTCTAATCAACGGCGTCCCGGATCGCCATTTTCCAGCTGAGTAATCAAAGAAGAAGAAGCCGAGGCATGGGGAATAGAAGGTGGAGAGCTCTCGTGGTGATCGTGACCGTTGGTTTACCAGTTGTGAACTGGGGAAGGAAGCGGGATATTTGGATTTTGTGAGGAGTGAGGACTTTGATTTCGTTCTAAGTTCTAAGTTCTAACGACCGGTTCATGATTTTCACCTTTCTCAACTAACCACTTCGAAAAGTTGAAATAGACAATGATATCAATTTGAGGGGCACGAGACGAGATAAGAGATTGGTTCCCGTTGCAAATGGCCCATTTTTGGCCTTTTGGGGACTCTATGTGATTCCGAGATGACCGAAATGCCCTCGTCAATTCCTTTTAAGGTGTTACTTTTGCAAGATAATAACATGAGATCAATGTCCAAATCAACGGTCCATGATCATCTATGTTGCCTATTAATACTATAGATCTAATAATAATAGATTCCAATCCAGTGGTTTTGTTCTGTTTCACGATAAAAAAGGGATGCGGATTCGGTATACTTTATCGGAATCTTTGGTAACGTTAATGTCTTCAGAGTACAGAGTGCAGAGTGACAGAGACTTTCCTCCGATTAGAGGAGGGAGCGCCACATGGGGAGAAGATCGGAAGCATTCTAGCAAAAGGAGGGGGGGCCCGCAATTATTCAGCAACACCGATGACGAGACGTGGAGTGATTTGGAAAGGGACCCACTGCACTAACGTACACGAATTGATAAAATAATATAATTAAATGTGGTATGGTGGTGGTGGTGGTGAGGTGAATTTTAATGATTAGTGGAGAGAGAAAGAACCGTTGACAATTAATAAGGACTTTAGGGGTCTGTTTTTCGATTGGTTCTTGGAAATTGAAAGTTGGATACTTTGGATCCCACCGACGCTACATTTTCTGTTCTATATCCGGCGGATAGTCCGCGATACGCCACACCTTTTGGCAAGGAGTCCGGATCTGTTGCTCACAATACGCGCCTCACACCGATTTTACAGCATGTACTGGCCGCATATCGGGAACATCTCCCATTTATTATTCATAAGAGATGTTTTCAATATAGAGTGGGATGTGATGTGAGGCGCGCTATGTGAGATGTTCTCCATGCGCGCTATGTGAGGCGCGTGCGAGTGTATCCATTCGCACGTTGAGAATATCTTCCGTTAAATTCATGAAAAATGGGGAGATGTTCTCCATGTGCGGCTGAATTTCCATGCGTATGCGGAGTTTTTACTTGCAGGGAATCCAGTCGCTTCTCTCCTCCATCAGTCATTCCAATTAGGTGGGTACGAGCTAAGTAACAGACAACAAAAAGCCTTATTCCAATCCGAGGGCTGACATATTCCTCCTGCATAAACACGTCATCGATATCAGGGATGGTACAGGGATTGACTTTGGACTAAAAAAATTGAAAATGATCAGATGTTCTTTGGACCATCTGATTTAAAGGAGATCGACTTCCTTTTGGTTTGGTTGACTCCTACATTGTTACTGCCAGACTCGTTGAATGGTGGGTCCCCATCATTGTTTACAAGAGATGAGGCAAGTCAGAGTTCAATAGATGTTATCCTACACATTTATGTGCAAACAATTTCTGAGGAGTGCAAGTTGGGCTGGGTTTGTCCCGACCCAACCCAGACCTTGGGTCAGCGGTAGGACTGGACTTTAGTAATTAAGGTTGATCGGAAATCCAAGATTCTTGGATTTCATTATAAGCCTTCCCCTACGTAAGGTCGTAAGCATGTACTGATTGTGGTTGTAGGCAAAAGCTTAGCCTTGGGCTAGAGGAGTGAGGGCCCACAACTAGTGGTTGTTCTTAGCCTTGGGCCGAGGTTCTATTAAAACTCTCAAAAAGTTAGGAATAAGAAAAGAATCCATAAATCAGACGGTTAAAAGGTTACTTAACCATTTTTTTATGATCTGCTATTAGTGTCCATCTACTGGTTGCATAGTAAACAAATGCCGCCGAATCGATAAAAGACACACCAAAAGGGGATTTTTATGGTCCCAACTCCAAAACCCAAGTGCAATGCAACTATTAGACGGGCCCATGAGCCTAGACCTAAAATGGGTATTTTGTTACATCACATTCCTACTGTTACTAAGTATCAGTCAACAATTGACCTTCTTCTGTCATTTTATTTTGCAAAAGCCAATAGCCCGTGACTGGGCCCTTAGCATGGGCCCTGGACAGAAAGGAGACTTTGGGCCACCCATGATCAACCCCCATGTGAAAGGAAGCCGTGTGGGCCTAATGTCTTGCCTGTGGGGCAACGACGGATGATCATCACTCAACTAATCCAATATACTAACCAAAACTCTTAGACAAGAGGATTTCCCCTTCTAAACTTTGTCTACCCTTAAATGGGAAAATGGAAACTATGTTTTAGCTCAAAATCAAAAACAATGGAGATAATTTCATGGATTATGCTTACGTGACTTACAATTTTATTTTTTCCAGAAAGAAAGTATACAAAATGAAATTCAAAATAGTGACATAAGTCAGGGATACAAATTAAAGAAAACTAAATAGGTTAAGACAAAAGCAATCCGCCCTAAGGCTCAGTTTGGAAAAAGTACAAATGCAAATATGTACAATATAAATACATACAAATATAATATAAAATACAAAGTTTTGCGCTCTACATATTTTGTATTTGGATTTATACTCCTTCCAAATTGAGTCTATCACTTTACTTGGTGAAGTTGTATGCAAAATCAGTCAAGATCATCACTCCATACTTAATATTAGGAGTGGAGTTTACTGGAGTGAGTTATGAAGTCTACAAGCGATGATATAATTTAGTAGAAGATGGAGAAAAAGAAAAGAAAATTTAGAGAAACAGATCCTAAGTAAGGTAGCGTTTGGAAGTTTCAAGGATGATTAGATCTTGAGGTCTTGAGCTTATCTTCTTGAAAAGAATTGCCAAATGCTTCTTATATATCCATGTAATATAGATTTTAGGGCTGCAGATAAGTCGGATCAAATTCGATTCAAATCCGAATTAAATCCAATAAGAGCCAGATCCAGATACCTCTCTTGATCCTAACAAATCAGATCAAAACAGAAAACTCGATCCATTAATTATGAAATATGATATAATATATATTATTTATATAATTATATTAAAAAAATTTATAATATATTATTATATTATATAAGTAATATAATATTATTATTTATATTACATCATCAAATTTTTATTTTTACTATAATCCAAATTGAATAATCGAATCAGATATCTAATAAGATATTCAAATTTAAATTTGTATCATAATCTTAAAAATCTAACAGATTTTTATCAAATTCGGTCAGATATCTTATTAAATCGGATCTGGTATACCTTTTACCGAATCCAATCCAATAAGACTCAAAAAGATGGTCTATGAAATGAACGAGCTGAGCTCATATGTACAACTCTAACCAAATTTATCCACAACTAGAGCATCGGCTGTCCCAATTGAAAGCAGAGGAGATTTTAACGGCACAACCCTGCTTGAGTCCCACGAAAATTTCCAAATTTCCAACTGAATTGTGCCTCGACTTTGGGGCGCCCAAAAGCGTCCGATATGACAATAGCGGAATAGCCCCCTCACCCAGTTGGAAAACTCTGAAACGGCTCATGAAATTTAGACATAACTCCATGGTTTTCAAAACCGGGTCGGACCAGATGGTCAGACCGGAAGAACTGAGAATCGGTCAGGTGATCGGTTCTTCCCAAAACCAGATTTTTGCTAAAAAAAATGTTGATTTTGGTCAACAAACCGTCGACCTGGGCGGTTAACTGTTCAAACCATTTGAATGGTTTTGACCATTTTTTTTTTGTCAGAACAGGCCGATCGTTTGACCTGGGAACAGGACTCCTGACCAGTTCATTCTCCGGGTCAGTTTTAAAAACCTTGCATAACTCAAGACATCGATGTTAGCTACAGCCTACAGGGCAGATGTGGACCGAAGAGTAAAGATTAGGGATGGCAACGCCACAACGAGACGAGTTTGGAGAGGGTTTTGTAAATTCTAGACTCTATTCATCTCCCTAGACCTTCTAATCCGTATTCGCCCTAAAACCCATAGCGGGTTGGATTTTGAGAATTTAAACCTTCCCCGTATATAAATATGCAAAACCCTCTCTGATACTATCCTCCCTGCCATCTCCCTAGACCTTATAATCTGTATTCGCCCTAAAACCCATAGCGGGTTGGATTTTGAGAAATTAAACCTTCCCCGTATATGACTATGCAAAACCCTCTCTAATACTATCCTCCCTGTATTCAAGAGTAAGGGGGGGGGGGGGTTAGATTTAGAATCTGCATCTAGTTTCCTATTATTTTTTGTCATATATAAGCAATAAATAAGTAAAATTATATAAATAAACAAAATTTCCAACTATTTGACTAAGACTGTGTAAGACATGTAAAAATTACATAAATTATCAATTATTCTTTACTTAAAATTCCAAATATTATTAATTCAAGATGTAAAGCATAAAATTTATATACTTTCCAACAATATGAGGGTCGAGAAGGTTTAATACCCTACCTGTTCCAGTGTTCCAGTACGAGTTATAGAATTCCAAAACCCATCCATCCCCCAAAACCCTTTATTCAAACAAAAAAAATCCACCCTACTGAAGAGAATAGGGACAAGTACCCACCAGATACGGTAGAAATTGCCATCTCTAATAAATATATGATAGATCATGAGCGTCTCTACCCGACAACGGATGGTTTACATCAACCGAACCACAGGACACTTTCATGTAACAAAATAGGCGAGGTCGACTAGCAAATTCCCCACCTTGACGCCTTGACCCGATTAGTATGTTGTTCTCATGTTCTGAAGTGAAGCATGACTACTACTGGTAGTTGACAAACAGGATATAGAAATGATGGAAGTTGGAACCATCAAGTATCAATCCTCTCTTTATATGGGCCGGACCCAAACAAGATTTGGATCTCTGGGTCAGGGATGTAATAGATCAAGGGGATCTCTTTAATAGTGGCAGGTGAGATCCATTATTAACGATTATCGTCAAAATTTAACAAATTTGCATGCTTGTTAGGGCAATGTTCTTGCTCCAACATCTGGGTCCATCTAAGAAGGGCCAGCCGAACTAGAAGACAATTGGAAATATATAATTTGGGCTGGTTTGTTTTTTTCTTTTTTATTTAACCCAAAATTGTGTTAAATGGGGTTATCACATCAAATAATAGACTCACCAACTTCTTGTACGTTCCCAATGAGCATTCTGAGGGACTAAATGGAGGGAAGGAAATTAGTGGCTGTACAACCTTTTAATAATCTCCTTCACCAAATGTGAAATGAACTCCTGGCATAAAGAAGCTATGATAGTAATAAATAGCCAGGAAATGAAATAAATTGAGTAATGTTGCAAAAAAAATTAGAATAAAAACTCCCGCTAAAAAAATTGATTTTAGATTGTGGTTGGATCAACGGTGGATTTATATTTGTCAGGGAATTGGAATTATTTCTATGGCTTTTGGGATTCTATTTTTCGGTTCAACCATTCAGTGGATTGAAGTGTTGCCACTTGCCAGATTCTCAAAACCTACCTATGAACTATGAATTGATTCGCCCCGAACTGTTTCTGGGATAATCACTGTAAACAATTCAAATTGGGAGAAACAAATATTAATATACATTTTCTTTTTCAACTATGGATACACCATGGCATTTTATATTGATTAGAGAAATAAAATAATCAGATCTACCCATTGCAACTATCAAGTTTGTGATAATAATAATTGAGTTTTAAAAGAATTAAAACATTTTGTGGTTCCAGGCCTAAATAATGAATCATTACGATGAAATGGACAAATTAGGGGGTTAGTGTGCATGATAATAATTACTAATTAACCTTGTTTTTGTTTTTTGTTTTTGAACAAAATCACCATACACATTGCCAACAAACACTCCTTTTAGAAAAATTGTCTAAAATTCACCATGAGTTTTTAGTATTTTTCTTAAATTCACCACAATTTTTCAAAATGTCTAAAACTCACCATGTCACTAAATTGACATTAAACAGACTAATGGGTGTTAATATATTACCATTTTAACCTTCATAGAAAAACATAAAATATATAAAATAAATTAACAGGTGTTAATATAATTACCATTTTAATATTTAGACATGAAAAAAGGAAAAAGTTCAAAAAAATATTTTTAAATATAAAATACATAAAATAGGAATTACAAAAAATGTAAAAAATTATAGAAATTGCAAACAAAATAAAAAAAAATATTTTCAAATTATAGAAACTATAGAAATTGAAAAACAAAATCAGAAAATAAAAATTGTAGAAAAACACCAAAAATTATAGAAAAAACACAGTAATTACAAATAAATAACAAAAATACAGAAAATTTTATAGATTGTAGAAAATAGAAAAATGTGAAAAAACAGAAATTATAAAAAATATTGGAAATTATAACAAAACACTAAAAATGCAAAAAAAAAAACAAGAAAATTGAAAACTAAAACGACCATTGTTCCTCTAACTCACCATTCAAGGGTAATTTGGTCATAAAATTTGTTATTTATGCTGACATGGACACTTCTGTTAAGAAGCATTAACGGTGCACTAAAGGAAGGTGAGTTTTAGACATTTTGAAAAGTTGTGGTGAGTTTAAGAGAAATGTTGAAAACTCATGGTGAGTTTTAGACAATTTCCCAACATACAAATGAATATTGATTCACCAGCCAACTTAAGGATCAAAAACCCAAACAACTTATCCAATGACCTGTAACAAGGAGGAAAGGATTTAGTGACAAACCATAACAAAACATACATGAATCATTCATCACTTACATCAAGACCATTGATTTTTCCCCTCAAAGTTAACAAGACCTATATCCTATCCAAATTTCAAAGCATCAGCCCGTATCGGCCAATACGTATCGTTTTGGCACTCCACCGATACACCCCTACAATGGGTGTGTCGATGGTCTGACCGGTTCAAGGTGTGGCAAAGACCTAAACTGGCTCCCCTGAACCAGTTGGCAAAAAAAAATAAAAAAACAAAAACCACCAAAAGGAGTATTGATTCGCCCGATACGCCCATATCGGCGTATCGTACGTATCGATATTTTGAACATTGATCCTATCCGTGTATTGTCAGTTTCAGTTAGACCAACTTCACATCAGGCCCTAGCTCCTAAGCTCAACTAGATGGTCAGTTTGTGATTGGTGACGGGTAAGGGTGTCAATGGACCAGTTTTGGATTGGATGGAGTCCAATCCAAAATTAATTTGAACAGATTGGATGGACCAACAAGACATATTGGATTAGACCAATCCAGTCCAAAATATTTATTAGATTGGAGTGGACCTGGTCCATCTGTAAGAAATTTATATTGGATTGGGTTGGATTAAGCCAATATCGAGTCCATTGATATAAGATAAGAGTATATGTGTCAATGGACCGGGTTTGGATTGAAACCAATCTAAATCAAAATGATTTTGAACAGATTGGACAATCCAGACATTGAATTGGACCGGTCCAAATTGGTCCAAAACATTCACTGGATTGGATTGGACCTGGTCTATTTATAATGGACTCACATTGGACTGGATCGGATTGGACCAAATCCAGTCCAATTGACACCCCTAGTGATGGGTGATTAAAGGCGAGAAGCTTGCAATTGCGATAATAGTTTTTTAGTCTGAATTTCAATTCACTGGGAATTTGGGGGGTGGGTGGAATTCTAGTCTATAAAAGGAAAATCCAAATCCAATCACAACCAGAAAAGGAAGATCACAAGAAATGTTTAGAAAGGAAATATAGATCTAAGCAACCCCAAAAAACAATGTTAAATAAAAAGAAAATAAGAGGTCAAATAGAACACCGTATGGGTCCAACTTTACGCTGGAGCAGAATTGGTAATTGACAGAATTAAGCCCCTAAGTTGACGTCTTTTCAGAACTTTGAATCTCATTAGGGGATTACTTATTCAGCACCTGGGAGGTAACCTGCACAAGGGAGGCTGGCCACAAAGGAATATTCATCAAAAAATTTGTTGGAAGAAACTTTCCCGACTCTATTGATACCCCTAATTGAGGCCCTTATTGCCATGCCTCGTTTTGGGGCATTTTGCTGCGCTTGTGCGTCATCCTTTCTTTTGATGGGTTGCCCATGTCCATGTACGACGTCGGTCTTGAAGGGATGCCCCAGCAAAAGCAGTTAGGCTATGGATACTGGTGCTTTTGGACTACCCTGCACACTTAACAAACTGGCTCCTGACACAGTAAATTTTGCTTAGATTATAAAGTATAAATTGTAATGCAATTCTACTACTTGAGAAAAGACGGTGCGCCACCTTCGTAGAATGGCTCAAATTTATTTGATTTAGCTCCATAAGAAAAGAATCCACAACTTCACTTAAGATGAATTCTACTTGGCAGACATATGACTAATCACGTTCAAATAGATAGTCTTTGGAGGTTACGTAGTTGAAACTTGAAAGCAGAGATGCCCTCCAACAGTGTTGCTTCAACATGTACTAGCTTTTCTGAATACCACTTGGCCATGTCTGATTCTTCACAGGTTGTAGAATAGCTTCAATCTCTCCAAGGGTTTCCTCATCCTTTCCAGCAGTAGCAAGTTCCATTGCAGCAGCAACGTTTTCCTTGACCTGATTATGGGAAGGCTAATTGTTTACTGGTATTTTCATGGTTCAAGGGAAAAAAAAAACTATTCCTTGCTATTCCTATTTATGATGGAGCATAGACCTTCCTAGCTTAAAGTGCTGCAATTACAGGGCATTCAATATCTGATAGTTCTTATCTATCTGTTGAATATGCTATACGGCATAGATGTCATTTACTGTAACTTCATTGTCATGTGGAACATGACAAACAGAAGATTGAGTGGCAAAGTGATTTGGGCAAGTGTACGAGTGCAACAATTACAATTATAATTGGACAAATACCCCCTCCATGCTGGGGTGAGACCCATTTAATAACCAATCACAATGTCTCGCTTGCACACTTGCAAGTGAACAGGGTATCATCCAACATATTAAACATATTATTATAAAGATATTTAAAGCAGTATTGATTTGAGAAATAAATTTGTAAAAGGAGAGAGAACAGGAGCTTTTTATTCGATACATGTTCAGTCTTCTATTTTTCATGGCTTTGCAAATAGAAAGAAGTTTTCCTTTTTTCCTTTTTATTTCTCATTTGAATGGGGATGTTTGTTGTTCTGGGACCAAAAATGTAGATGGTTCAACAACAAAAACCACCTGTCTTTCTTGAAAACTACATTTTGTAGTGAATGAAAAATTTCTCCTGGTGAAAGTGAAACAAGCACTTCCAGGATGTGTTTTCAGGTTTCATGGTTCAACAAAAAGAAACGAACAAGTTTGTAGAGCATCTTTTCTGCAATTTCTAATTCAAAGCACCTTGGTTGCATTAATCAAACAATATTGGTTGAGAGATGATAATGAAATCTACCAGAATACAAACAAATATGAATTTTAGTAAGAGCAAAAATTTAGCTATCCATTCATGAAAACTAGATAGTTACAGCATATGAAGAACACTAACCTGACTAACAGAGTTCATGCCAACAAGAACAGATGAAATTTCTTTATTTATCAAGCTGTATTGCATAGCAATCTTTGAAATGTTTTTTCCCTTTCCCTTACAATGAGCTGCTGCAGCCCGGCATGCAGACTGTGATTAAAATAGAACAGACAGGTTGGGGTTAAAACACATCAGAATCAAGAAGAGATCAATCCCAAAAATTATCAGCTGCTTAGAGGACACAAAAAGTGATTGAATAATTGAAGAATATTTCAGAAAACATCAAATGTTAAGATAACAATTTTATCAGTCAAAGAAATTATTAGCATTTCTGGATCTCTTTCAATTCATAATTTAAGTAGTTTCATGTTCTATATCAGACACCATACTCTTGAGCAAAATATACATGTATTCAACTTTCTGTAATGCCATCATGCCAATGTTTATGCCATGTGACGTTCATAATAAAAAGTTCTTCTATTCATTATACATCAGAGTATGGTTAAATATATGGAACATTTTATCTTTTATAGCAGCAAGTGCAGAATATCTATCTGTTCTTGCGGTTCCTCTTTTTTCTTTCCCCTTCCTATATGTTGTTTTTTCTTGATAATTAATGAATTCTTCATCTGTCAGAGAACAAAGTCTGGATATTAAATAATTAAATGATGTTCCCTTGGTGAGTGAATTGATCATGCCAGTTAAGAGCAACCAAAATTAATTTCTATGAACGTCATACCAACTAAAGCCACCAACTGTCCTAACCACTGGAAGTAAAACAGTCTTACCAACAGTCCAGAGTCCAGACCATGATGTGGACCCAATAAATTTCTTCCTTTCAAGTCATATCTGACAGTTATTAACTTATTATAGATCAGTTGTTTCAGATAGCATATGAGTTGTACAATTATCAGTCTTGAAGTTGGCTACAAGAATCCACCTTTCTTTGGTCTTCCCCCTGGCTCTTTTAGAACCTTCAGCTTACACCGAGTCACTCTTGATTAATGGTGCAGTCATTAGTCATCTGTGAACATGGCCAGACCATCTCAATTGACTTTACCTAATCTTGTTACCTACTGAGGCTACTCCTACGCTATCTCGGATGCACTCATTTCTAATTATTTACTTTCTAATCTTGCCAATCATCCACTCCAGAATCCTTGTCTTACTTAGTTATTTTCTAAACATGTTCTTGATTGAAGATGCAGGTCAAAAGGGGGGAAAAGGACAAAGGACTATTGCAATTTACAGAAGTTCATCTGAAATCAAAAGTTTTCATCATGGGGCCCATAGCATTAGGGCCAATAGATAATAGTCCATAAAAGAAGTTTATTAGGAGTGCCAGGTGGTTGCAGTGCTAGGTCACAATATGCCAGAAATTCACTAATTTTAGTAAAAGTAAACTTGCTATTTGTTGTAAAAGTGATCTGAGAACAGCCACTTTGAAGTTATGTCATGTTGTTCCTTGTGAGTTATGATTAGGGGTGAGCAAAAAAAACCGAAAAACCGAACCGACTGAAACCAAACCAAAAAATCGGTTAACCAAACCGGTCGGTTTGGTTTCGGTTCGATGTTTTCAACCGATAGTTTCGGTTCGGTTTCGATTAACCATTTAAAAACACAAGCAGTTAACTGAACCGACCGATATATATTTTTTATTTTTTTTAAATCTAATGTTCAGACTGTCGAACTAAGAGTCTGAGATTTTCAGGTTCGCCAGACTGGCGAATAGCTTGTCTGACGACAGACAGTCTGAATCGTCTAACACCCGCCACGCATCCCTTTCTTTCCCTCTCTCTCTCTCGAACTCTCACTCCCTTATACTCCCTCTCTCTCAGTCTCTCTCTGAGCTCTCTCTCTCTCGCCTCTCAGTATCTCTTTGAGCTCTCTCTCTCACCTCTCGGACTCTCTCTTTGAGCTCTTTCTCTCTCTCCTCTCAGTCTCTCTCTGAGCTCTCTCTCGCCTCTCGGATTCTCTCTCTGAGCTCTCTCTCTCTCTCTCACCTCTCGAACTCACTCTTTCAGACACCCACTCTCCCAGTTCTGGGTTCTGGCCTTCGATGCTCCGCCCTCCGACCGATTCACCGACAGCCTCTGACACTGGCGATCCCTCCTACTTCAACGACACTAGAGGCTCGGCTGCGGGTTAGAGGCTCTACTGCATCTCGGCAACACCGGCGAAGTGGCGATCCTAGTTCTCTTCGGCTGTGTTTTTCCTTTTTTTTTTAATTTTAAGGGCATAAAAAACCAAAAAACCAAGCCGCAGTTAACCGGTTGCATTAGTTCTGTTTTTGTTCGATTAAATGTAAAAACCGAACATATCGGTTCGGTCCAGAAAATCACCCCACGGTTCGGTTAACCAAACCGTGAGCACCCCTAGTTATGATATTCCCAATGCCCCACCTTCCTTTTTCTCTTCTCACTTTTCTACTCATGTTCTTTGACCACAGGCACCATGTGCTTCTCCATGTTGTACATTATAGCTTATAGAGTTAATTCATATTGACCTTGTGTTGCTAAAGGTTGCACTTGTAACCAGTTTTCTCCCATAACTAAAGGTTGCACCTCCAAAACTACAGTTTTTCTCCATTCTAAACCCACCAATGTCTTATCTAAACATACCATAATCATCTTAAATCAATTCTTAACCATTCACTTACTTATGGAAGAATAGAAACGTACTTTGAGCCTTTGGACCAGCCCCATCCTTATCAATTTTGGGAACTAGTACAAAGTGGTATTAAGGACTTTCTCTAAACATTCTCAAAACACATTCTCATACAATGGAAATCTTTAGTTGTAGAAACTAAATAAGAATTCTAAACAAAACAAAATTCTTTAGTTTTATAGCTTTTGCCATATTTTTAAATAATAAATCCTAGTAAAAATGATCACCTTGAAAGTAATGAATTAAGCTTTGAGAAATTTCAGAAATCCAATTATAGAACCCTTGTCTTAGACATGAACAAGTAAAACCTAATTAGAAATCTCAATTGACCACTCTTTGAACTTTGAATAAAAAACATGTCTGCATTGCCAACACACTACATGGTACCAATTGTTAAATGATGTACAATACCTCACTAAGTTGTGTAGCAAACATTTTAGGGTGGGATTATTGGTACCAAGACTAGTTCCAGATCCAGTACTGCATACCAATTTCTAGCAACTACAACTCACTTTCCTCTATAATCTACAAATTCCATTGCTTTTTCTCCATTTCAGCCCATCACAAATTTAGTTAGCAAGAATTTCTCCTGTCTATCAATTTCTGAGCACTCTGTTCCTGTATACATCTTTTTTTTAATCACTTTTCCTGTCTACACCTATTTGTAAATAGAAACATATTTTTTACTTTAATGATGTATAACTCAAAAGATATCCATTGCATTTTGTATGTTGAGATATCAACATATGCTTAGTAGATGAACTAAATAGACTATTGTATATAAAAAGGTTGTAGGTCCAAGACCCTCAAATGACTTCAATTCAATTTTGCTTAAGGATGCAATATATCTGAATCTGATCCAAGTTTGCCCCATTTCCAATCTGATTAATACCATATCTAAGATCTTCAGAACTAATGAACCTTGGATAAAATTCTGATGCAACTAGATCCAACCTGAATCCATATCACTTCATCCATCCCACAATCTATAAGAATGCCCCAGACCTTCAAATGACATATTTCATTTTATTTGAAAAGGTAATATATCTCTAAATCCAAGTAAAGTCCAGCCAAAATCCTATCTGATTCAAATTTGGGTTTGAGATCTTTCAGATCCAATGAACCTCAGATAAAATTCAGATTTAACTACATTTAATCTGGACGACTCATTTCAGCCCCCCCCCCCCCATACCAGAGAAAGATCCCATTTAGTTCTATAGAGTGAATTGATTGGTCAGGTCAGGTTCGTTGATTCTGTGTGAAAGTTCAACCCAAACCAGACTCAATTAATGAGGTTGAGGTGTTACATACCAAATCCACCTTACCCCAGCCAATAGCAACAGAAACAAATGAAAGGAAGAAAAGATCCAAATAAATTGCCCAGGCTATTCAGTTGTCATCTGTACAACAGCTTAGTGTTTGAAGTGGGTTGCCCAAAAACAGAACACATGCACAACCAGAATCACACTTGATTATTATTGAGGTACTCCAACTTGAAGCCATGGGTACTCCAACCACACCAGCGAATCAATTTCTACATGTATTACAATCCAGTTTCTGTACAGAAGTAAAACTAGAATCATTCAAGTCACATACCCCTGGATAGTGGTCACCAGTATATAGCATGGACTATTAAGCCCAAAATGTATCATCATTCACTCACAACTCACAAGACAAAAAGAAAAATCTCATTACATACAAGTGAAAATTTCCTTCTATGAACAACAACCACATATTTAATGCTTTTTTCCTTATTGATAACAAGATCAAAGAGCTTTATTAATGTAAATAGAAAGCAAAAACAATAGTGCACTCATCTGGATTACCAAGGAAACCAGATTCAAAGCACAAGCTTCTCAATAAAGTAAGATGTTCGGTTCTCTGCAGACCTTTTCTGGCCATCCTCTTTGCTAGAAAGTTCACATTATCGTTCACTCTAGAAGCCAGAGCTCTCTCCTTCCTAACATAGTCTTGGAATATCCAAGGGCCATCACACCCACACTTGAATGTGCCAACCTGTCACCTTCAATCTCCATGAGAAGTACTAGGGGTGATCATGAAAAACTGACCGCTATATATATGTGTGTGTATATATTATATATTTTTCATATATATTTTATATTATCTAATATATTATAAATGAATGTATATGCATTATATAAATATATATATATATTTATAATATAAAATATATTATTTATTATTTATAATATAGTATTTTATATGTATTTCAATTTTTATTATATATTTATATATTTATTTATAACATATATTATAAAAATAAAAAAAAAACCAAAAAACCAATGAACTGAACTGATCAGCTCCAGTTCGGTTTTAGTTACCGGTTTTCCGAAACCCAATACTACCAATTCGGTTTGAAAAATAGGACCACAGTTCGATTAACCAAACCATGAGCACCCCTAAGCAATACCCATGAGACTACAAAGAATCTTATTCCTTTGATGCCAACACAATATCTCTAA